GGCTCCCTCAGCCTAAAAAGCGAGACGAGTGCCACACCCCACAGTCACGTTTGACTGAACTTAACCGTCCAGGAGTTCTTTACCTTTATCTAGATAAGAGCCTCCCAATGGTAAGTGTTCCATGGCAACTTAGATGCATTACAGATGTTACAGCCATGCCATCCCACAGCAAGCACAATTGGCTACTGGGATGGAATGATTATCTTGTTTTAAGCAGGCTGGATTGTGCTGATTCAGCGATATGTGAGTTGCTACACAGAGCATTCCTTTTATCTATCGGGGGGATAAATCAGTCAAAACACATATTCTGCCACCTCCTCCCTACCATCCAACTGTTGAACAGGGAAGACAAAGTTCTGCTCTTTCAGATTTTATATCTCTGAATTGGGGAGAAAGGAAAATCATATACCCTAGTATATGATATCTAAAATAGCATAATGGCTTAAAAGACTGAACTTTCAGCAAGAAAGTCCCTAGCATGCATCAATGCCCCCTAGTGCCCTCCATCACTTTCTGAACTTCAAGAAGCTTTTGTATTGCTGTTTCCTTAAAAAGTGGATTTTTATTTTATTTTTTATTTTGGCAACAAAGCTCTTTAATCCACATGAATTGCGTAAACCTATATTTCCAGTATGCGACTGAATCCCTCCCACAAAACACAAGCAGTCTGGGGGCAGCCCAAGTTAAACAAAGGTGTGGCATTTCACAAGTGTAGCTTTATATTGTCAAGTATGTGAAGCCTTATTCTAGAAGCCAGGGACAACAATGCAGAGACTCTTTCATTATGAGTATTTGATCTCCCCAAATGAGACTAGAATTACCAGTTAGGTAGGTTAACTTGTTCTTGATTTGAATGGCAGGGTGCCCTAGGCTGTGTTGAGCATGCAACGAAGAGCATCTACTGTACCGGCCAACTTTGGAATAGAAAAAAGATTGGTTCTAATATATGGTAGGTTCTTCCCACTGATAATGGAGTGCTTGATCTCTGATTTCAGAAAAGCTAATAATAACATGGCACCTTTTGTGTATTTATATCATGTTGCTAAACGTAAGGTAAAAGATGCGTTATAATGCCATTATTATAACAGAATCCCCTTTTTAGCTTGTAATTTATTTTCTGATTAATTAACTGGGAAACAATGAGTAAGTTAAAAACACATTATCTCAAGCTTAAAGGGAGAAAATGCTTCCTCCTCTAACATTAAAAAAAACACAAATAAAGACACCTTCTTATTTTTTTAAATTGGTAACTCCACTGGCCTTCATAAAGTAGGCTGCCTCAACATAACTCATCTCCCTGGAGGCAAATCTGTGCCTTGTTTTTGACAGCCTCACTAGTGCTTTTTGCGCTTGCAAAACAGACTTAGCATAGCTGAAAAGGCATTTGAGCTTTTGTTTGTCTCTAGCCCAGCAAATTACCTAGACATCTCAGGTTCTGTCAGATTGTTCTCATTTGTCTACAGTGCTATCCTGGTAGAGAAAACCCTGGTTGTGTAGCTGTTTGCTGTTGTGATGAGCTGTGCCAGCTCAGATCCCAAGTCACTATATCATCTGTGCATCTGTGTTCATACACAGGCCCAGGTTTAGGAATACAGCTTAACTTCCAATTGAGTCCCGGCAGAACTGGGGTGAGGGGCTTATGCCCCAAGCATATCTCCAGTTCAGTTGGGGTGAACGGTTTATGCCGGTGTAGCCTTGGCTAAGTCAGGAAAGCCAAAAATCAGACAAATCCAAACTCTCTTATTCCAGTGGGTTTGGATTACTCTGTTATCTGTTGATCTGCCCATTTCTGCCTCTGGATCTGGCTCCATGCACTTTTGGGGCCATACTTGACACAATAGGAATAAATTACATTTTATTTGTTGTGCAAACACTTGGAAAATTTCATCAGGCACCACACAAAAAGTTTTATTCCACTCCTGTTTAACCTCATGCTTTATACCCTCAGGCATTTATTTTAGTGTGCCAAAGGATAATTTAATCATTGTTTGTAATTTCCAACAAAGAAAAAAAAAGTTGAGCCACAGCCAAATGAAGAAAGGAGATTTGTGTTTGTGTTTTGTGGGTTTAATCTGATTCTGATTACAGTCAGCATTCTAAAGCAAGGGTAAAAAAAACAACAACCCACTTCACAGTGGTGAACAGCAACTTTTGAACTGGTAAAAGAAATAATTAAACATCATTAACTAAATAATGGGTACAAAACAACCCGCCCACTTAGGTTGTAAGCCTAAAATGATACAGCTTCTACTAAATTTATTTGTATCATATATTAGCTTCCAAAAGGAGTGTTGGACAAAATAATGCAGGTGAGAAATATATCAACTGCCCTATTTGCCCCACAAAATAGGTCTGGGAGTGTGGCATCATATAACCTTATGCTTTGAGTAGCACCAAGTCGTTTTCTGCCTTGTCATGGCTCCTACTGGAATAAACAGCAACACCCCATCCATTAACTTCAGTTGAGGCATGTTTCGAAAAGGAGGCTCCATTTCTGAACAAATGGCTTCTTGAATTGTGTCAGTAATCCTATACACACTTACTTGGGAGAAAGTCCCATTGGAATAAGTCCCTGCAGGACATGGACCTGGTCTAGTTTGCCACTATGCCCTTCCCCGTGGAGCCATATATATGGTGGCGATGGTATTATAGCTGCAGATATGTTAACAAGAGCCTGCTGTTCAGAGTAATTGCAAAATGAACACCACAACATTAGTGCCACCTGTTTGCATGTCCAGATTTCCTTTCATGTCAGGAGTGCGTGCAGGAGCCAGGCCCTGTGACCAGTAAGGCTTTGCAGGACTGGGGCCTTCCTAAGTTTGTTCTGGAGAGGCAAGGCGCGGCTGCACAGGTGAGGCCGCTGCCTGGTGGCAAGAGCCGGGAAGGGATATAAGGTCAGCATTTCCCTTCGGCTCTTTGCCACAGCAACACGTTTCCTGCCTTGCTGCCTTTGGCTTCTTGCTTCCTATTCCTGGGACCTTGGCTTCTTGACTCCCTGCTTCCTGACCCTTGGACCCTGGCTTCTGGACTCTCGTTCCTGCTCCCACCCCGCCATCTTGCCCCTGGTCCTGACATCCTCAGCTGGGACTTCGATTGCCTGTAGACCAGACTGTAACATTTCATTGTCTGCCTGTATGTTTCTCAAGCATCTAATAAAAATAAGAACAATCAGAACTGAACTGGGTTTGTGGCTACAGGTGATATGGGTAAACATCAGTCTGCCTACTAATTATAGTTCACACTAATCCATGGGCTTGGGCTTGCAGATAACACCTCCAGCTGGATAGATGCTACACCTGGTGGAACTCTTATCTCATATACTAGAACTTGTCCTATTATAGTTCTATTGTGGTGAAATATAGGGCAGAATTATATTAATTTTTTATTTAGCCTTCAGATTTTCATCTCTTAACTTAATTTGAAGACACAGGGTGGAATTCAGTGTCAAGCTATGTTGATTGTTCCGTCAAGGCAAGCTTCTCAGATGGAACTTTCCTCGCCTCCGTCTATACGCTGTTCTGGGGCTTCTCCCAACCGCTGCTCTGAACCAATTTGTGGGGTGCAAGGGGAGAGAAAGGGGAAAGCCCCATTGCACAAATGGAACTCCCTGTGCAGGGTTTCCACTGACAAGACTTGTGAGTTGAATCTCCCTCATAGGGTTGTGTTCAGTCTACCCCTATAGAAACTAATGGCTCTATGACTAGCTTAGGTCCATTGAAGACAACCCATATAACTATCTATGTGAGGGAGGTTACATCATGTCTCATTCAAGCTCCCTTAATAGCTAAATATCTTACTGTCCAATATTGGAAGGCCTGACGCCAGCACTTATCAAAACTTGGTCAACGGACCTTCAGGACCTGCAAGTCAAAGATCAAATCCTGCAATACTGAATGGGTGTGATGCCACCACTGAATCCAATGGGTCATGCTGAGACTAGACTCATTGGACTTAAGTCCATTGATGGTCTGAGCATGACTAAGACTTGATGCAATCTACAATGAACAAATCTTTTCCCATAAGGAAAAAGAAGCACACATATTGCTTGTGTGCTTTGGGGGGATATTTGCCATCTAAAATATAGATAAATATAGTGCAGCTTGAGGTTTTTGTCACTTACGTTAGAGAATTGATGCACAGGGACTTATTAAAATATAAATCAATCAAAACTTAAACACCACAAATTTGAAATATGGGTTTGGGAATCCTTTGATTATTATTTTTTTTAAAATGCATGAACATTCAAAATCTAAAACAGAAGCATCCACTTGGGCATACTGACATTTATGAATCCAAGTATGTTTCATTTAAACCTGCATTGGCAGGTTCAGGTGTGTCCAGGGTTGTACTAGCCATTCATAGGCTTTCCTGAAAAAAAGCTTATACAGTCTTTCAGCAAGTGTTCACTTCAGATATCTAAACACATTTAAGCAATCTCCTGAAACAGATGTTATGGCATCAGGTGGCAATGGCTTGTTGCAGAACACCCAAACAGCAGAAGTGAGAAAGCACGTACTGTGCAGCACACGGCCAGGATTAAGAATGCCTTATGCAATGGCCAGTATACTTATCTGATCCTCAATATGCGCGTCGTGCAGTCAGTCTATTTAACTATATAGAGCGACGGAAATATATGCTACACACACGCGCAAGTTCTAGTTTGTTATAGAAACGACAACCTACCTTCCCTCCGATCTCACACTAAGGGCCAAATTCTTTTTTCCTTTTAGGTCCTCCCATGTCTCCTCCTCTTCCTCCCAGACTCGGGTGGGGGTGGGGGCAGGTCACGTATAATGTTTGCTAAAATATGTAGGTCAGTGGAACATTTTCTGCACTTGTGCAAAAAACAAGAGGAGGGAGCGCTTTCTCTCTCCCCCCCCTTCGCCCCAGCGTTCACTCTCTCTCTCTCTCTTTCCCTACCCCCCTCCAAAAGGCTGGGTGCGAGGACGGGAGGCGGCGATCCGAGAGTCTCATTCCACCTCCCTGACCCATTTCGCAGCTTGGCTCGCAGCTGCTGCTGCTCACCGGCGACTCCCGCTCTCCTTTTGCTAAAGAGCCTGGTTTATTTCTCTCTCTCCAACAGCAGCAGCAGGGACCTCCCCTGCTCCCCGCCCTACTAAGTCGGGAAGCGCACGCTTCCTACTCTCACTGGAGACGCCGGCGAGGGAGCGCGAGCAGGGCTCCCCCGATGGTCTGAGGGGCGCCGGAAGCCGGCGAGCGGCGCCCCAGCGACTCGCCCCCCTCTCGGCTGAGAGCGGGCGCGGATGAGGCGCTGCTGGGGAGGATGCCCCGCTCTTGCCCCCGGGGCAGCAACTTCCCGCCCAGGGAGCCCTTGCTGGAGCCGGCGCGCTCGCAACTTCATGCCCCGAGAGAAGCCCGCGCTAGCAGCAGCAGCTACCCAGGCGCCCTCAGTCTGCCTCTCCCTCCTCTGGAGGCTCCCGGCCGCTTTCGCGCCTTTGCCGAGCCGCTTTTCCCGCCAGTCTCGAGGCTGGGCCGGCGCTGAGGGGGAAGCGGGAGCCCGGCATGCGGAGTCTCCCCTCACACCATGAGATACAGCCGGCGGAGGTGCCACAACAGCAGAGACACCGCCGCTAGCAGCAGCAGCAGCCCCGGTCGAGAAGCGGAGCCGCAGCCGCCTTCTCCCGCCGCTTTGGCGTGCGCCACGGAGACTTGGTCCGGAGACCTCTGGCACGAGTGGAAGAGCAGCAGCGGCGGCGGCCACGGGGAAAGTGGCCGCCGTAGCAAGCTCTGCAGCGGCGCACAGGTCGCCACCGCGGACAGCAGCAGCAGCAGCAGCATCTGGCGCGTGCTGGCGGCGCGCGCCCACCTCTCCCAGTACAGGCACTTCAGGTAAGCCCAAGCAGGTGGCGCCTGACACAGTGACACAGATAAACAGCAAGAGCAGCGGGTCACTCCGGCCGCCTCTTCGCGCGGCGAGCGTTGGGGGGCGCCCTCGATTTCTTTCTAGGGGGGCGCGTGCGCACACACACAGGTGGCGGCAGCTCAAGTCAGGTGTAAGGGCATGGGAGAAGCTGGCCTGGCAACTTGGCCCCTCCGCCGCGCGCCGAAATCGAGGGTCGTGCATGAGACAGACACATACACAGAGAATAGCACCTAAAAGCTGATAAAGATGCTTTGCCAAGTCAATGGTACAGGCAAATTGATGATGATAATTCTTGAGGGGTGCTGAGTCAGGCTAATTTTCACCAGTGGCTGTGAATTCGGTTGTGGTTTTTTCCTGGCAGCTGCAATTCAGATGTAATTCCCACATTGGCCAGAACACACTTTGTATTAAATACAACTCTTTTTAAAAAAAATAAAAATAAAAATAAATCGTATGAATAGCATTCAAATGGGTACACTGCGCTAGATCATCTTCAGGGTCCCCCCTAACTCTACAGATCTATGTTCGACAAACAACGCAGTGAGACTGAGAGGTGATTTTAAAATGCAGTTGTGAAAATGGCCTGAGGCTATGAGGGTTAATTTTGTGCATGATGGTCTTTTAAAAGTAACACCTTGGTATAATTTTTTAAGAAAGATCATCATAATACATACATATATCTATATATCTTTTTGTGTTTCCCATATATTATCTCAGCAGTCCTAACAGTGCTGGAAGGTAGGCCAATATTGGTGTATCATGTTGTCGGTGGAAGCCTGAGACATTACCACTCAGTGATGCCACTTAGTGAGTCTGTGGCAGAGATTACAGTTGAGGGAAAGACTTCTTGGTTCCTAAATCTTAGCTCTCATCGTACATTGACTCCTTGGAAGCTAAATAGTGCTTGGATCGTGGGTGGCGCTGTGGTCTAAACCACTGAGCCTCTTGGGCTTGCTGATCAGAAGGTTGGCGGTTCAAATCGGGGTGAGCTCCCCTTTCTCTGTCCCAGCTCCTGCCAACCTAGCAGTTCGAAAGCACACCAGTGCGAGTAGATAAATAGATACTGCTGTGCTGGGAAGGTAAACGGCATTTCTGTGCACTCTGGTTTCCGTCATGGTGTTCTGTTGCACCAGCAGCGGTTTAGTCATGCTGGCCACATGACCCGGAAAGCTGTCTACGGACAAACACCAGCTCCCTTGGCCTGAAAGCGACATGAGTGCCCAAACCCATAGTCGCCTTTGACTGGACTTAACTGTTCAGGGGTCCTTTACCTTTACCTTAGTGCTTGGATCTATGACTGGCTCTGGAAATGGTGTGTTCTAAATAAAGGCTGTCCGTTTCATTTTGGACTAGGCCTGTGTAATTCTTCTGGAAGAATATACAGTATGTTAACATTGTTTCAGGGGGTTCATATTAAGGAATAAGGATTAATCCTTTCCAAAAGCAAATGGATCTCTGTTACTAAGAGACAATCCTGCATCGCAGCAATGGATTTGGCCGAATTATGTTATTGCGCCATTGTGTATCTTTGTATGATGATCAGCTCAGGCATTTTTAGATATGTGTGGTAAAACCATCTCCAACCTAGAGGACACCCAAAACATCCAGCTGTTGGGGGTGGGGCTTGAAATGTGAGTAGTATTGACTTTGCAATACATTTACTAATGACAGTGCATTTGATATTCTAGAAATGCATTTTGGGTGTTGTAGATTCTTAGAATTCTTTATTTCCAAAACAACATTTCTGAAAGGACAGGGCACATGCAATCTCTAGTTACCTTGCTTATACTATGACAGTATGCAACTTTGCATTTTGTTGCATTTGCCTCTAACAGGGAAGGCTTTTTTTTATAAGTACACCTGTCAATAAAATGATTCAGTTTATCAGTTACTCCGCCATTAAAGCAAAAACAAAACAAAACCATCTTCATGTATTTTCAGCTTACGGTTGCTATAGCTTCTGGGCTACTTTGGTTATGCTTGAATAGCCAACAGGTGAAGTGCTTACGTTCTCCTCACTTCAGAAGCTTTTATATAAATTGCTGTCATCAAGCAGAAATTGAGGGTCAGAGACAGAGGCTGTTAGTCACAGAGAGGTTAAATACTGAGGCAGGGCAAGGCTGGGTGGGTGTGAGGCAAGGATTGTAAAAATGTCTTACAATATACTTTACAGTACTGTAAAGTATGTTATAAGATATTTGTATAAGATAATGCTTAATAAGTTTTCCTTTAAAATTCATGATTTCATGCTGATATTTATTATATTGTTACATTGTAGGTAAGTCCACAGATATTACTAGTTTTATTACAGTGTTAGATTGTCTTGTCTATACATATCTACATCCTTAGTGGCCCAAGAAAAACAAACAAATGTTTCTAAAGGTTCCCATATGGAGGTGGGAAATAGCTGCAGACCATGAATAATTGAAAATAAATCCTGTTTATGTTTGGGATCACCATGCCAAAGTTGAAGAAGCATTACAGTATTTCAGTGGTCTGGAGTTTTCTGTATGTTTTGTCGAAAAGGGAGGAAATATAACAGTTTTTTGCAGTTTTCATATGTGTAACGTGCCTTTGAAAGGTGCACATATTTGGGTTTTAAAAGAAGTTCAGTTAGACAGAGCAATTGCAAAAGTCCTCTGTAACAGCTCGGTCTGAAAATATGCAGGATGCTTATTATTTACACTGTGAACAGCCGTCAAATCCTTTTTTGTGAGCTTTAAAGAAAATCATGTCCTCCTTCATATAATGTGTGTGGAAGACAAAACGTAGCATGAACAGTTCTGTCTGCGATGCTTAAATCAATTCAGGCTCTGAAATTATTATTTTTAAACATTTTGTAACAAGAGGAGTTAGACTCTAGATGTGTATTTTGCTGCATGAAGAGGGAAATAATTTAAATGACTTTTAAAAAGATAGTTAGAAATGTCTTCTATGCGCTAGCTCATTGTAAATAGAACAGGTAGGGAAAAAATTCTGCCTTCAGCACATATTCTGTGTAATATAACACTTGTTTGTACTCTCACGTTTATTAAGGGCAGAGTTTACAGAGAGATCTGTGGTTCTTTGAAGTTCTGTGCCACGCTAGATAGAATAATTATGCTTTAAAATGTATTTTATACACTGTTAGGCTGTATACACATGTAGGCTTCGAAATGTTCAGGGGTCATCTTTACATAGTGTGCTTTTGTAAATAGCAGTTTGCAGTTGTTTATACCTTCACGCAGTAAGAGGCAACTACTATCTATGCAAAGGGTATTCTCTATTCCTCTCTCAACAATTAGTGTTCCCACAGGTCTTCCCCACAAAAATATAAAATAAAAAAAATTCTCACCATCTTTAGAAAAAAGAGTCTGGAAACCTATGTGCTGAGTGATATACTGATGTACTTATGTATTGGTATATAGAAGTGACAAAGTTACTACTGTACTGCTTCCCATTTTTAACTATTTCATTCATAAACAAGTTAAGTATGGCGAAGGAGAGTGGCACAGTGCTGCAACCTTGATGGCAGAAAGTGAGGAGGAATTAAAGAACCTTTTAATGAGGGTGAAAGAGGAGAGCGCAAAATATGGTCTGAAGCTCAACATCAAAAAAACGAAGATCATGGCCACTGGTCCCATCACCTCCTGGCAAATAGAAGGGGAAGAAATGGAGGTAGTGAGAGATTTTACTTTCTTGGGCTCAATGATCACTGCAGATGGTGACAGCAGCCACGAAATTAAAAGACGCCTGCTTCTTGGGAGAAGGGCAATGACAGGCCTAGACAGCATCTTGAGAAGTAGAGACATCACCTTGCCAACAAAGGTTCGTATAGTTAAAGCTATGGTTTTCCCAGTAGTGATGTATGGAAGTGAGAGCTGGACCATAAAGAAGGCTGATCGCCGAAGAATTGATGCTTTTGAATTATGGTGCTGGAGGAGACTCTTGAGAGTCCCATGGACTGCAAGAAGATCAAACCTCTCCATACTGAAGGAAATCAACCCTGAGTGCTCACTGGAAGGACAGATTGTGAAGCTGAGGCTCCAGTACTTTGGCCACCTCATGAGAAGAGAAGACTCCCTGGAAAAGACCCTGATGTTGGGAAAGATGGAGGGCACAAGGAGAAGGGGACGGCAGAGGACGAGATGGTTGGATAGTGTTTTTGAGGTTACCAGCATGAGTTTGATCAAACTGCGGGAGGCAGTGGAGGACAGAGGTGCCTGGCGTTCTCTGGTCCATGGGGTCACGAAGAGTCGGACACGACTAAACGACTAAACAACAACAACAACAAAACTTGTGCTGGCTTCCTGTAGTTTGAAATGCTCTGCCGATCTGTTCCTTTCCTTACATCTAGTTGCACCTTGGTCAGGGTTGGGAAACCTGCGGACCGCCCCTGGTGTCATTACTGGGGGGGGGGGGTGACAAAATGGCAAAAATATGTGTTGGGCTTTTTTAATAAAAAAATTGGGCTCATGACACTTTTTTGAAAAAATAACTCCAGCACCCCCCCTTCCTACGCCACAGGAAGCTAGGTGAGGCGGAGGGCACTGGGAACCACACGCAGCGTGCCTGAGCCACGCGTCTCTCCTGAGGGGGAGGCGGTGGGTGGACTGCCTGCAAGCTCCGCGCTGCTTTTTTGAGCAGCATGGGGCTTGCGTCGGCCCACTGCCTCAGTGTGCCCTGCCTTGGCTCACCCCGCCCCCATGGGCAGCTTGCACCCGAGCGGCTAGCTACGCTGCTGAATACAGTGGTACCTCGGGTTACAGACGCTTCAGGTTACAGACGCTTCAGGTTACAGACTCCACTAACCCAGAAATAGTACCTCGGGTTAAGAACTTTGCTTCAGGATGAGAACAGAAATCGTGCTCTGGCGGCACGGCGGCAGCAGGAGGCCCCATTAGCTAAAGTGGTGCTTCAGGTTAAGAACGGACCTCCGGAACGAATTAAGTACTTAACCCGAGGTACCACTGTACATTGGTAAAAA